ATATATGAGTCAACCCTCAGGCTTTGCTGATCGCAAATATCCATATCATGTTTGTCGTCTTCACAAAGCTTTATATGGTCTCAAACAAGCTCCTGGAGCCTAGTTTCACCATCTTAGTCAGAAACTTCATACTCTTGGTTTTATTTCCTCTAAATCTGACACTTCTCTTTTTATCTTGTCTAAGTCCTCACATACTACTTTTGTCCTAGTTTATGTGGATGACATCTTGGTGACTGGTTCCTCTTCTTCCTTCATTCAATCTCTCATTGATGAGCTTCATTCTACCTTCACTATCAAAGATCTTGGTTCTCTTCATTATTTTCTAGGTAATTGAAGCTCAATCTACATCCACCGGCCTTCTTCTTTCTCAATCTAAGTATATTCAAGATCTCCTCACTCGCACTCACTTCGACACATCCAAACCCGTCTCTACCCCCATAACCCCCACCTTACCTCTCTCTAAAAATCATGGTGTACCTTTATCTGACCCTACAGAGTATCGGCGTACTGTTGGTGCCCTTCAATATCTTTGTGTCGCTCGTCCTGATATCCAATTTGCTGTTAATAAAATGTCTCAATTCCTCCATTGTCTCACTGATATTCATTGGCCAGCTGTTAAGCGTATACTTCGTTACCTACGTTCTACCCCTACCCATGGCCTACATCTTACAAAGAGTTCCCTCTTTCATTCGCTTTTGCCGATCTTGATTGGGCTGGTTGCCCTGATGACCGCCGCTCCACTTCCGGCTATTGTATTTTTTTGGGTTCTAATCTCATCTCTTGGAGTGCTAAGAAACAACCGACTGTTGCTCGTTCAAGTACCGAAGCTGAGTATCGCAGTCTTGCTCTTGCTGCAGCTAAATTATGTTGGCTTTCTTCTCTCCTCTTGCTGCAGTCTTGCTCTTGCTGAAGCTGAGTATCGCAGAAACAACCGACTATTGCTCGTTCAAGTACCGAAGCTGAGTATCACAGTCTTGCTCTTGCTGCAGCTGAATTATGTTGGCTTTCTTCTCTCCTCCGTGAGCTTGGTTTCTCTTCATCACCTCCTACTCTTTGGTGTGATAATTTAGGAGCTATTTACCTTGCTGTTGATCCAGTATCTCATGCACGCACCAAACCTATTAAGATTGATATTCACTTTGTTCGTGATTTGGTTCGTCAAAAAGCTCTTATTATTCAGCATGTTCCGTCCACTACCCAAATTGCTGATATTATGACCAAATCTCTGTCTACGAAGACTTTTCTTCAACTTCGGGACAAGCTCATTGTTGTTCCGCCCATGAGCTTGCGGGGGGCTGATAAGATTAGTCAAAAATCTCATTAGTTAGGATTATTTAGATTATATTTGTTTAGATTATTTCAGATTTTATAATATCTAGATCTTAACTAATGTTGATATATGTCTATAAATAAAGACAATGTAATATACTGTTACACATAATACAATTTATGATTTCATCTTCTTTCATGAATTTATTTCTCATCAATTTCAGTGTACAGTATAAATTTCAGATGCACTATGTAAAGGAATCCAATAACAAAGATGTACTTGACGATTACTCCGCCAAGAAAAATTCAACGTGTTTGCTTCAAGTGATGATTATTTTAAGATGTTCGCCTATCATCCAAACAAATTAATACTACAACTTTTTGAAATTGGATCAAAATATAGGTTAATTAATTAATCACACCGTTAATTTCGATATTACGAAATCTTCAGAGCACAAGCAAATTACGATAGAGACATTTGGATGCTTTCATTTACATATTGACTCTCAATCGTCCAAGTGAAGTAACCCCCCAAAAACATACTTCAATGTTCGAAAAATAAATAAAATCTATTTATTGAATAGTTTTAGTTTAATAAAAGTGGAATACTTTTCTGAAATTAGAGGAGTATTAATTAATTTGTTTTAAGAACTTTGAACCTTCAATCAATTAGCTACTCTATACATTTGGATAAGCAAAATGATGAAAAAAAAAGAAAAAAAATCCAGAATTCCTGATAGTTTATCAACGAGACGATAAAAATGGATGATTGTTATTATCACGAGGACAATCTTTAATTAGCGAAATTAGTATTTTTTTTTTGGGAGAAAAGGGAAATATATCCACATTAAAAAGATGCTAACAAGAAAGCACCCGTCCAAAAAAAAAAGCATATTCCGGTCGATATAATATATTAATGGAATTTGTTTCTTTTAATAAGTACTCCTTATTACCATTCACGCATGTATAAACATTGATCTAAGACACACTGCATAGATGATATAGGATAGACCTAATCAAACAAAGGGAATTAAGAAAACCCTTTAAGTGTACATTCCATTTAGAATATAGTGTTGTACAGTAGTACATTTTAGTTTGGGTTTATGTGGATATCACTATCAAACTCCGCCCCCGGAAGATAGATATATTTCTGGAAATGTCTGAGTTGGCCTTTCCTAAAACCATTCTGAAATCCCCAAAGCATTGTTTCTTTCACTTCTCGCCAACTTCCAAGCAGCTGGCTTATTACCTATTCTCGTCTCTCCATTTCAAAATAACAATCATGTTATTTCGTTAATTAGTACTTTTCTGTTTTAATATGTTAAAAAAAAATTCAAACTTAATAATAATTTCGAGACGAATGAAATACATATAGCGATATATATATCTTGCATAATAATGAAGATTATATTGTGAAGGTGATTATACTATTTTTTTCCCCTTTTTTTATAGTGATTAATGTCTTATTCACTTCATTATACATAAAAATGACAAAAAATTTTCGACAAAATAAATGAGCTGAAATTTTGATCAAACTTGCATGGATTTAGTTTCATTCCTGAGAAATTGAATGAGCTTGGGAATACTTTTGTACTTGAGATTTAAGATTGAAGTGATCATTTTGCGTGGATTTGATATGAACATTCAAAATAAACTCAACTTAATCTTTAGCCGGCATCTAATCTCACTAGAATTCGGGCGAGATACTTACAAGATGTAAAATTGGTGTAATATCCTTTCTCTTGTGTGTTCTATACATGTACCTAAACGTTCATATGATTTGTGGCCAACAAGAATTCACATAAAGTTGGATATTTGAGACAAAATTTGTTAGATGTTCCTTAAGACCTTAACCATAAATAAGTTGTTAATTGTTTATATTGATTATTTAATTATATACCAATCACTTTCATGCGTATTTGTAAAAGAATCTAATGCCCACATTGTATTTAGTGATCATTCCATTGAAAATAGTTAAAATTGTTGGGTTTAAAATAGAAGAGATCTCTCTTTGCATAATCAGGCCGATCATATAGAGAATCAAAGTTTGCATTTGTTTGTTTTTGTGGCCGAGTGTTTGAATGAGTATCAAACACATAACGAACTAAATAATACTCTCTCTGTCCCAAAAAATAATTCATATTGAGTTTTGAGTTTTGTACTGTTTTTAGTACAAATTTGAAAACTCAATGTGAACTATTTTTGTGGGACGGAGATAGTAACATACATTTGGAATTGTAGCAAATAAGTAGTGAAATGGTATTTTCCTTTTAAGTAATTTGAATTAATTTCAATCCGAATTATTGTTGGTCCAAGAATCAAAGCTGCTGCACTTGTCTGGTTTAAGCTACTTAGCTACTATACATGATCAAATAAATAGATGACCTTAGCAGCATATTGAATGAAGGAACATAGATCATCAACTACTAAGTGGTTGCCACCAACGAAATAAACAAAAGTGAAACAATTTCAAACCTGATAATTTAATACTTATATCACATCCAAAACTAACATAAAAAGTTCAGAATGTAATCCTTTGCTAAATCCGGATGAATGTAGTACGCAAATGTGGCAATGAACATGATATGGTAGACGTATCTAAAGCTTTTCCCTATGTTGGAGGAAATTAATTTAAATACTATCATCTTCTCTTTCTAGTGCTATTGACTAATTAAACAAATGATCATGTAATCAAGATTATTTATTAATTACGTGGAGAAAATTGGCCACTTCCTTAAATCACTTTATAAATAAAACTAAAACATGAGAAAGTAATCTTTATTTCTCTTGTAATTGATAAAAAGTATAACAAAAGTGGAGAACAGTTAAACATCTACAAATTAATACTATTAGAACTCCAAAAAATTATTAATTTATCGATGTATTAATTTATCGATAAATTAATAATTTTTAATTTATCGATAATAATTTATTAATTTATTGATTAATGAATAATATAAATTTAAAGAAAATACCAAAGAATCCTACTAATTTTTTAAGCTTAGCTATATAAGATTTATATTCCTTTATTCCCTTATATCCCATAGGCATTAGAGTTTCGACTCCTTCATCATCTTAAATTTTATCACCTACCTAATCTACTTAACATGCCTCTATTAAAAGAGATATTTTTTTAGAAAATCTTTAAACTCCCATCAATGGCTGGATACATCATGCAAAAAATTCATAAAATCTACAATACTTTGATTCTCAAGTTCATAGTGCTTTTTTTTTTTTTTTCAAGTCATTATTAATTTATGATATTGTAGGGACCTATATTTATATAAGGGTTTTAAAAAAATTATTATCTTATTATTTTATCGATTATTTTTGTTTTTTGTATTGGTCCCGACTTGGGACCGGAAAAGATTATTAATTTATCGATGTTATTAATTTATCGATGTTCTACTGTATATTACAATTATATCATATTATTTCAGTTTCGTTTTCTTCTTTGAAATAAATAATGGTAACATGATATGAAATTATTATGTCTTTTTACATACGTTAAATCCTATAAAAATGTCATTTTACTATAACATTTCACCAATGTATAAAATGAAAAAGAAGAATGCAAAAAAAAAGTAATGGAGAAGAAAACAAGAAAATGGGGAGCCAATAAGAAAAAGAGGGAATCTTAAATCCCAAACTAAAAGACAAAACAAATGAAGAAAAAAACAAAAAATATTGAAAGTGAAAAATAACAATAATAATAATAATAATAATAATAATAACAATACAAAGGCCGGCCGGAATATTATTCCTCCAATTAGATTCCGTCCTCAGCCCCGCCCTCTCTCTCTCTCTCTCTCTCAGCCCCTCAACTCCGACCTCATAATACTTATACGAACCAAAACCATTCATCTCTTATGCTTCTTCCTCATTCATCTTTTCTCTCTGTTTCCCAGTGTTTTGGAGTCCTTGATAAAGAAATCCCACGAGTTTCTTTTGCGCGTTGGGTATCAAACTCGCCGGAATTGTAGTGATTTTGAGGGGTTACCAGTTGCTGGGCATTTTTTTGGGTTAATTATCTGTTTTGGAAGCATCCCTTGTTGGAAGTTGTTGTAATTCTTAGCTGATCGATAGTTTCCAGTTTTACAAACTTTGATTTTACAGGGGGAAGAAGGAAAAGGTACCATCTGTGTTTCAGCTGATTTAATTCTCCATTTCTGTTTGAAATTTGAATCTTTCTCTTGCTTATGAAGATTCTGATTTCGTTGAATGGATTGTTCCTAGCTGTGTTTTTGGTGTTTTTAAGTTGACCTAGATAAATGAGGACTGAATCTTATTGAAGATTATAATTCTGGCATGAGGGACTTGTTATTGAATAATAATTTGAAAAAATTTGCTTCATTTATTGCTTCCTGATAGACTCTGCTAATTTAGGATTTCTGGTTTGTTAGTTTAGGTCTTTCAGCTCTGTAGTTTTGTCATATGAGGGTTCTTCTCTGAAGGTTCATTTTGATTGTGTGGCCTGGAAGTAGAAACTAAATGTGTTCTTTTTATTATATAAAGATCAGATTATCACCAGAGCTGATGATTTAGCATTAATTGTTGGCCTTCGAAGTTATTAATTGTGAGTTTGCTGATTGTTGTCTATATAGGTAGTGGCTGTTTATCTCGTCTCTCACGAAAGGCTTTTCTGTACTTACAAAAGAAATGGACTACATGGCTGGAGGAAATAACAACGCCGCCAATCTGGCTTCTAAGCAGAGGCTTCGCTGGACTAATGAACTTCACGAGCGATTTGTTGATGCTGTCGCTCAGCTTGGTGGGCCAGATCGTAAGTTTCTGGGCCATAATTATCTTTCTAATTGATTGTTGTTTCAAGAAATTGTTTTTGTATGACAATTGTGGCGTTAGATTAGGTCTACTGTGTTGCAGATTTAGGTTTCTATTTCTAGGCATTTGTGAGCACAAGCTTGTGTAATTTGGTTACCATGCTAAAGCTGAGTAGTGAAAAACAGAGCTTTTCTGTTTCACGTTGGCTATTTCTCATCTCTGTGTCCGAGTTAATTGTGCAGAATGATGAACGGGTTCGTTCGAGCTGAATAAATGCACAAAAAACTAAAATAATAATATTAATAATTAGCATTTCTCATTGCTATAGTACTATGAAAACCTTTAAGTCTTGATCCTTACGCCATTTTTCATTAAGGAGAATATAGATAATGATATGATGCAAAGGAGGGTTTTGATTTTCTGAAACTATGTCTGGGTTGTTATTCAGTTTGACTATATAGAAATGTAAACAGTGTTACTTGTAACAATGTGTGACATGTTGTTTTTATGTTTCAGGGGCTACTCCCAAGGGTGTTCTTCGAGTGATGGGTGTACAAGGTTTAACTATTTATCATGTCAAAAGCCATTTGCAGGTAGATAATAGACATTTCTTATAATATTATATCATTGATGGTTCTTTCGCGTTGGTTTCTTATTGGCTTAATGCCTAATTCTGGCCGTACTTGCTCACAGAAATACAGACTTGCCAAGTACCTTCCAGATTCCTCAGCTGATGGTATGTGTTTGATCTTCCCTGCCTTTACATGCTGCTTTTCTCTATTTTACATACTTATCGGTAGAGAATAATCATATACTAATACAAATTGATGTACAAACATTGTTTATCTTATGTTTATGTAGAAGTGGCACTTTCTAATGTGTTTGATAATCTTCAGGAAAAAAGACTGACAAAAAGGATTCCAAGGATATGCTTTCTGGTTTAGATGGTTCATCGTAAGTGCATTCTAGTTTTTTTTCTTCTTTTATGATGTATGGTCTTGTGATAAAGCAGAAAATTCTGATTTTTTTTGGCAAAATCCATCTATTATGTTCTTTACCTACCCCTCCCTCCCGCGCCCCCTTTCTTCTTCTTCTTCTTCTTCTTCTTCTTCTTCTTCTTCTTCTTCTTCTTCCTCCTCCTCTTCTTCTTCTTCTTCTTCTTTCATTGCTGTGAATTTTTAATCTTTTTCAGAACTTACTTTTGTGTGTGCATTAGTAACTGTTATTTGCTTGGCTTCTTTTCAGTGGCATGGAAATTACTGAAGCACTGAAACTACAAATGGAAGTGCAAAAGCGACTGCATGAGCAGTTGGAGGTATAGTCATTTTGCCATGCATACTGCCTTTTAACTTTTCAAATTTCTGTACTTACTAGATACTAATGGATCCATTTATTTTCTTTGTATTTGTGATTATATTGCTGGTTTTTACTCATTTCTTTATTTCCAATGTCATTATTGGACTATGAAATATTGTTGTGCACCCGAGTTTAGCGTTTGGGTTTGTAAGTTGGACTCGTTTGCATGGTCTGTGCCTCTTGTTTATTTCGTAAGTGAAATGAAGTGTATACATCATTTGTCGTCTTTTCTATGACTGATCCTGATATCAATTGTCGCGATGGTTCATCCAGGTGCAAAAGCAGCTGCAACTGCGCATTGAAGCACAAGGGAAGTATTTAAAGAAAATCATTGAAGAACAGCAACGCCTAAGCGGAGTCCTTTCAGATGTACCAGGCAGTGGGGTTACTGACAATTGTCCAGATACTGAAATGAGGAATGACCCTGGAACCCCTGCCCCTGCTTCAGAGCCTGCCGTTCTAGATAAGTCTGGCAAGGAACATCCTTCTGGCAAAAGCCTCTCCATGGATGAATCATTCTCATCTCCTCAAGAACCTCAAACTCCGGAGTCTGGTTGTCATGTCAACCTATTTGACAACATCGAAAGTGACAGGTTATTGAAGAAGCAACGTGTTGCCTTGGATGCAGCATTTGCGAAGCCGGATATGATGTTTACCCAGCAGCTACCAGGCATGCGTTCAATGTTTCCGACGAGAGAGCACTTTGAATAATTGCTTTTGACACGTAGTTCAACAAAAATGAGTTCCAGTTAGTATTATGTGTAGTTCACTGTGGAAGATTACTTGTATTAAATTAGCTCAAACAGAGGACTACATGCGAATTTGAACAATTCTGATGTATTGACGAACCACGTTATATGTAGATGTTTTCGAGCTTCTGTTTTCTCACTTAGTATAATCATCAATTTTCCTAAGATTTATGTTGCCACTTGATCGATGATGTCATTTCGTGGTGCTCAGGGAGTCTTCGAACCATATTTGGAGTTCGTTCTGGAACCTGAAGATCTGTAAAGCTTTTCTTCACGTCGGTGTGCTTTGGGCATGATTCGCACATTCTGTAGTCTGTACTCTATTACGAAACCAAAAGGTTGAATATATGATAAAAGAACTTTTCTTAGAACATGAAAGAGTAGTTATCTTCATGACTGCCACAAGTTTTTTTAACTGTAATCCATTTTGTTTTATTGGTTGATTTGTAACAATCCCTTCGTTTTCCATTGAAAATATAAGAAACAGTCTCATGGGATCAGGATTCAGTAACTGTGAACACTTTCATCATCATGCACTACTGTTTAAACCTTATGTGTACCACTCCCAATAACTTACAGAAGGACTAAAGGGAGGCCAGATGTAATACAACAATAAGCATGTCTATTTTGACGCAGTGTTTTGCTCTTTCAGTGAAATTCTCATCTTTCGGTTAATGTCATATTCACACCAAACAAGGAACACCTGTGAATCGTTCTTTACTGAGGCAGACTACATTTCTGAACAATGACAAAAACACGAGCAGCTCTAAACTCTATTTTCACAAGTAATCTGCTCCTTTCCAAAAAAAAAAAAAAAAAAAGTAATCTGCTTCTTGAACCTTGCAAAGCGCACAGCCTGATAAAACTATTGTATTCTGTAGGCCAATATACTTTGACGTTTGAAGAAAACAGATGGCCAGAATCATTTGAAAACCTGCTCATCACAAGGCACCAACTTGCCACCTTTCTCACAAAGTCCCTGTTCACCGACATTATTAACTAACTTCCCAAAACTATATCTCAGAGGCATTCTTCCTAAAATTCTATGAAAGTCACTTATGCATTGCCCTCTTCTCTTCCTGTGCTCCCCTCTTCTGCTACTTATCCCCGCTTCCCTCTCCTCCTTCCCCACGCCGCCTTCGTTTCTCGCATCCCCCCAATCTCTGATCCTCGCAGCACCTACTAATAGAGGTCCAGCATTCACCTTATCTGCCACCACAACATTCATCAAGATATCCTCACAGTTCTTCTCCTCATCCACAATTTTCCGCAGCTCTTTATTTACTTCGCCACCTCCACAACTATACTCCCATAAGTACTCTTGTTTGATGATCATGGCCTTTGTGAGAATAATCGAGTACTTTTCATGGCTAGAAGTGTAAATCCAAGTCTTGGAGTTCAAATCATAAGCGTGTGATCTTGCAAAGAATCCGACCAAGCGATGAGGATTGGATTTCCAAATGTTAAATGCAAAGTTAATGGACTTGGAATCAAGTTCGACATCATCATCGCAGATAAGGACAGCTCGAGTATCAATAGAATCTCGGGGGTAGAATCTGGAATTCAAGCTTGTAGTGGTTTCCCGGATGATGGAGATGGGGGCATTTATGGTGGAGTAAAGAGACAGATTCCTGGAAAGCTCGGTTATAGTCTGAGATGGCGTAGACGGATTGCACCACAAAATGAGGACCGATGAGACAGATGCAGATGCTGAATATATGCTAGCAATTGATTGCAGGAGTGGGATTCGATATTCTGAGTAGCCATTGATAACCACCGTCATTTGGTCTGACCTGAGAGCACGGGAATTCACCCCCTTTTCACAAGGATAAGGGTTGCTTGGCCTGTTCAATTGGCGGGAGAAAACCAAAGTAGACAAGTTGCATGATGACAACGCTACTAAAGTGAAGATCAGGATTTTCAGGTTCTTCATTTTCAGTGTTTCTTGCTATTGCAGTTGGAAGCATGAAGCATTACGTGGCTCCATGGAGATGACCCCTCTAGCAAAGAAATTCCAAAAGGAACTCAGCAATTCCGTTTCCTGCAGAACTGGAAGTGAAGAGATGAGATCAGGGAACAAAGGGACTAATCTCACAGGAAATGAATACTTAAACAATGGCCTACACAAGTTCAGTAGTGACATAACTAAGTACTTAAGCTTCTTCAAAAGAAAAAAACTAAGTACTTACGTAAACTTTTGGGGATTACAGTCTCATTGCAGCAAAATAAACATACGAATGTCAGAAAAGCCTATATAAACAAATCCTCTTGCCAATGTACACCCCTTTCATAACTTCAAGGATAGACTCAGTTTGAAGAAAAAAAAAAAAAAGAAAAAATGAAATGATTTGAGGCCATTAAGTGTTCCAAGTTCCAACTAAATGAAAATGGTGAAAAATAATCAAAACCAGTCAAACAATGCGTCGAAAAGCTGATCTTTTAGTGATATTATCACTCCAGACACCAAATTCTTCTCCTGATCTCTATTAGCACTGGGAAATGAAAATGCAAGCAGCAGTAACTTCTTCAGTTTAAAAAAAAAAAAAACATCCAGTTTTCATTATGAAGAGCAGCAATATCATCACTTAGTTGAAAGTTCCTATAGTCACCAAAATTTAAAGAAAGAGGTTAAACTTTGTGAAATGCAAAAAGGGAAACCGAAACTCTTATATATAATTCACCCAATGGTGACATTTGTAGAGATGCATTTCTTCCAATTCAGGGGGCAAAATGAAGCTCTATATCTAGCACCAAATCCAAACCAAAACTATGAAACAACAACAATTTTGCTAAAATTGAAAATAGAGAAGCTCAACAACTATAAATTAGCCACAAAAACAATTCTTTCACATTAACAAAAACTAAATTCTTTGATGCTATGATGGAAAGAAACTTGAATGGATTCCGACTGCTTATTATTAACTAATAATGGTTAAGCAAGAAATTACCTGAAGAAACTGGGCAGCAAGATTAGCAAAATACGAGATACGAAAATCTAAAATGTAAGATCTTGACAACAAATCTGGGCAAATGACTGAGTGGAGGAGAAGAAAGTCTAAACTCTATCAACGATGAAGAAGACGAAAGAGAGAATCACAGCCCAAGAAACGGTATTTGCAACAGCCCAACAAAGAAAATGCCAAATCCATTCCTCTCACGTCTTAACAACGGCCCAAACTTATATAAAATAGCTTTCTTGCCTTTTTTTGGTGTATATAAATTTGTTTGGACACCTACCAAAATAATTATTAAATGTTAAGGATTACAAATACTTTTTTATTCTTATTATAAGGTATTTTGATTTTCTCTAGATTTTTTTTCTGACACAAGCAATAATCATTTTTCATTCAAAATCAAAAAAAGTAATTCGAGTAATATACACACAACCTAAATCGAACTATTACAGTAAATCATTTCATTTAACCACAACGGAGATGTATTTTCCCAAGTCTGTGGATATGAACTAAATAAAGCAATATTAGCTAAACTGAGACGAGGTATTCCATTGTTTTTTAATAAATAAAAACTGATGTATTCAAAACAAGATTTTAATAAAGAGATGTCTTCGACTATAGTCCAAGTGTCAGCTCCGAGAGAAACCTTTCCCCTGCAACACAAAATTTGTTATAGATTTTATCTAATATGTTTTTCTAATTGAAAAAAAAATTTTACAAATATTTCTTAATAATTATGAAAATACAATTAATGTGGAAATGTTTTAAATTTCGTTTTAACCGAAAAAATATAATATACGATGTAAGACTTAACAGATCAAAATGTCTCATAATTAGTACAAGAGGGAGTACAATAATTTCGTATGCCAAGAATCCTGAATAATTGATGGAAAAATTTAACCAACCATAGTCATTGTATTATACTAGCTTGACACTCTTCGATCTTGTGGCCCTTTACCGTGGTCACGAGACGATACTTCTATTATCAACTTTCGCCATTACTTGTCGAGAATTTTATATGACTTAGAACAATTTTTATATCACGAGATGGACAGTTAATAGAGGATGGATAAAGTAACGAAAGACGAGACACATTGGTGGCGCCAGATGCACAATCGTTGTATGTGATTTCAAACATCCTCTTCAAACTCGGTTTACGCTCATAGCATCATACTACTAACTCTTGTAATGAGTTAAGTATCGCAACTGATGATTTCTGCAAGAAAACAAATCAACTTGCTACTTGCATACAAGTTTGGAGAACAAAAACCTATGTGACATTGTTTTCTTTCTTACGATGGAAAGTTTCGCAAGGAAATATGCATCATTTTCAATATAAAGAGAATTGTTCATTTAGCACTGTACAGCCCTGATGTGAAAAATGATGAACATATTGCATCAGTAGGATGACATTATTGATCTAGAGATTTATGCTGAATGAAAAAAAAAAAAAAACAGGTGAAACCTCACACATGGATCAAAAAATGAAAAAACGTTCATCGTTTATTTGACCTTGAACAGCACCCCAAAGGCGAGATTTGAATGATTTGTCAGTTAACAAAACATTCATCTTGATCTCAAAAGTTTACCAAATGCAAGGAACTAATTTGCCGAAACATAGTAGCTAGCAGAGCTAAAAAGCGCAGCTGTGGATTCTGCAACCTTATCTAGTTATATCTATAAAAAAAAAAAAAAAAATTACAAAAGGGTTAAAAAAAAATCCATTCTTTCCTCTTGTCGAACATCAAACAGGTGCATACGATGCAGATGAGATGAACAAATTTACACTAGTAAAGCAGCTCCTCAAACACAGGATCTACATTTTGCCCCCACTTTCCATGGTACAAATCTAGGAGCTTCTCTGCAGGCGTTATACCTAATCACAGAAAACATGGTCATGGTCACTGAACATGAAACACTTCAAGGCACTATGCAGATAATTTCCAACATTGTAAGATGATTATTTCCCTTGGGATGGAAACCCTAGAAATGATGTCTTGGTACTCACCAAGAATGAAATACTTGATTCTTGAAAAGCTCAGAGTGTTGTGAAATTCTAGTTATTATACATCACATTTCACCAATGCCTCTCTCATGATGAAATATAATACAAAAAAATACAAAAAAAGAAAAAATATAAACACTAGCTGAGCAGTGTAAAGATAAGACCAGCAAGTACCAATCCATCTACCATACCACATATATGACAAGGGAATCGAAATAGCACAATATGGTTGCAAGAAACATCGTCCCAGAATAAACTTTACCTGTTTTCACAACTTCAGCAACTTCATTCAAAAATCCTGTTTCCTTAAAGCCTCTCCTCTCTAAGCCATCCTGCAGAGAAGCAAACATTGTAGGAGGACCATTTAAAGAAAATGATATAACAAGTATCACCTATGCCTATCTTCTTGCACTCACCTTAGCCAACTGAACAACCTCTTGTGCCACATGCTTTAGCAACCCGTCCCGAAATGGTGTCTTCAAACCAGTTTTTGGTACCTACTAAATTAGTTGGAATTAGAAATGCTGCTTTTCCAAAGATAATCTTTCTCGATGTTGCAGTTAAATCTCCAACTGTACTAAAAGAATTACTCCAAATTTTCCATTGCGTACAGTCTGTTCCATGCAAAATGGAAGGCAAAACAAAGATGAACATGACTTGGTGCTATGTTCACAGTGTAATAATAGCAATATGCATTATACAAGGGAAGAATGTCAACAGCAGAAGTCCTACCAAAATGACTTCATACTGAGTCATAAAACAATATATCCATGACTAAGGACATAGAGCAAGTTCAATTGCAACATATCTACGCCTATCTATTAATTCCAAAACGTGGATCTTTCTTATGCACATTGGGAGGGAAATGAAAGTGGTTCCGAGGTACAAATAGGACATCAGATATGCCCACCTCACCCATGCACTTTTCTAGGGCTGCAGTTGTATCATACTAGCAAATAGCTATGAATGAAGAAGCATTAATGAATGTAATGCAAGCAAGTGATAGAAAGAGAGAGTTTGAAGGGTGCTTCAGACATGTTGAGGTCTGACTGAAGAAAAGCACTTGGAAAAATACACAATGCTACACTTGATAGCTCCTTATATGGAGTAAATTAAAGGAGAATAACAAAAATGCAAATTACTTTGATGTAATGTGTATGATAGCTGCCAATTGATAAATACATCATTGGCGACAAACATATGAGCATTAACTTAGCACCTTATTTCTCAACATTTGTCTTTCTCCTGTTGTCCAATCAGAGGTGATGTCCAGGACACGTTGCAGGGAAGTTTCGTCATAAAGAATTCCCACCTGAAATTAAGATATCAAATAGCAAAACACCTGAATAACTGAGGACTCGTCTAAAAAGGCAAACTAGCAGTACAAGAATCAGAAGTATGTAAGGGAAAACATCAATATGCACATGTATGATGGATCACAAGCTTGTGCACTCAGAACTCTTGGACGAAACCCATTTGATTCATAAAATAAATAAACAAATCAAAATCACTAGATTCACCTCAGACACTGCCCCAACACCATGAAAACATGTGATCTCATGCGAAAGAATGACACGGATAAATGAGGAACAAAAAGAAAAGGAAAAAAAAGAGCTGAAGGAACAATTTGATACTTGTCGAGGACAACAGTAATATTTGGTAAAAATGCTTATGATTTGTCAGAAAAATTCAATCACAAAGTTCAAAATATAAATTCCAAGAACGAAGCTCCATACCCAAAAAGCAGGCAGTGCACATAACCTTCTCCAAGGCCCTCCATCAGCTCCCCTCATCTCCAGATATCTCTTAAGCCTCACCTGAAGCAAAACATAACTTCAGCTCTAATGAGCACATAATTCAATACCCAGATAACTAATGCAGGAGAAAATAAAGAGAAGGAGGTTGAACCTCAGGAAATATTGTGGTAAGATGATTCTCCCAGTCATTCAATGTAGGATATTCACCCGGAAGAGAAGGGAGTTTTCCTGCCAGAAAATCCTGCAGGAATTCAAATGGAAAGATATCAGTCAGTTACCCTGTGTTGAAACTTTAAACTATTGTAAAATCCGTATTGAAGTTTTCAACATTATGTGCATACCCGAAACGACAATCCAGCGCAATCAACATACTTCTTTTTCCGATAAACAAAATACATGGGAACATCAAGGGCATACTCAACGTATTGCTCAAACCTGTACGAAGGCCAATAAAGAATATCAATGTAGGCATCATACAGGCTACGTAACGAATACAGTGCTACTTTCTTGTCTTTACTTTCTTTCAGACTGGATAAAAGTAATAGTAACATCTTCTCAAACAAATGTTGTGGACCAATTGACATATGCGAAAAGAGAGCAATACATTAAAGCACTTCTAGAGGCAAAACTGTAAGCAGTTTTTATGTGGTCTACAGTTGTACTGCTCTTATGTCCCAACAATTTGCCAAATGAAAAGAGAAAATAACAGCGAGAAACAGGTTGATCCATCCAGTTTCACAAAGCCCACAGTAAAACCCCCCAACTAAAACTTTCTGCCAGCAGAACCAAATGCTAATATGACAACCAATTAATCCACAGAGCATGGACAACCTACCCAAAAGATTCATCAAAAACAAATGGAAGCATGCCCGCACGATTGTTGTCCGTGTCTGTCCAAATTTGGCTGCCCAAAAATGATAGAATTTTGAGAGATCGAAGTAAAATATATGCAGATCCAACAATAGAATCATTAAGAAATATGTGAGTACCTTCTCATGCTAAGATAACCATTTGGTTTTCCTTCAGTGAAAGGTGAATTTGCAAACAAAGCTGTGGCAATCTGTTTCACAATTATGTTAGATTTCACAGGATCCAATGTTACTCAGTGTAATTGAAATGAATAAAAATCCTCACAGGCTGCAGAGCTAGACCAGCTCGGAATTTTCTTATCATATCCGCTTCCGAACTGAAGTCCAGATTCACCTGTTAAAACATTACACTAACTTTAAGTACATGTCTATTCAAAAGTTAACTTCCTTTCACAGTTCCTCCAAAAAGCAAAAGAGATTCCCTCACCTGTACAGTACAGGTCCGGAACATCATGTCAAGCCCAAGTGTGCCGACTTTAGGCATGTAATTTCTCATAATCTCGTATCTTCCCTAAACCATAGTACAAGTGAGAATATCAGAATATGCAACAGAAAAAACGACGCCCTTATAATCAACATTTACAGCAGAAAAACAAAATGTTCTAAACATTATTGGAGTAGGTGAATTGTCTTGTGTCAGTGTTACCTTTGGCATTATAGGTATGTCCTTTAATCCCCATTTGGGTTGGAAACCAATACCTAAGAAACCAATTCCCATCTCCTCTGCAACAGCTTTGACCTGCATAATTTATGAAACAGAAGTGATATTGATGATCTATCATCCTTTGTTGTGCGAAGAAATTACCTAAACATTGATGTGTTTGGTATAAAAAATAAAATAAAAAGCAAAACACAAAATTTCACGAGGAAATTCCCCAAGACTGCGGTATAAAGCTTGTTCACTACAGCTTCCACTCCCACCCCCCAAAACCGAAAAGGAAGAAAAGAAAGTGGTCACTTTATCTATAATAATGTACTAAGGAATGGAAAATAAGATCTAACTTCTGATTTCGTAAAATTTAAAGAGAAATAACTGTTGAAAGTAACAAAAGCAGGATGATAAGAAACACTTCAAGCCTTGGGCTTCTGGTCTACAGTATTAAGAAGACAAAATGATTCATGAAATTAGAGGCTTCATGAAAGATAAGTAATGTCCTTGATGAATCACAGATCTCCAAACAATTTCAGGAGAAGTAATAAACATTCTCACTAACCTGGTAAAGATGTGAATTGACTTCTGCACATGTTTGATGTAATGTTTCAAGAGGTGCACCACTTAACTCAAACTGGCCTCCAGGTTCCAATGATATGCTTTGCTTTCCCTGACCACATGGCGTAGAAGTGTCATAGAGGAAAGAGATGTATTTCATTAATCATGGACGCTACCGATAAAAGAACAATAATGTTGTAGAGAAAGTAAGATCAGGATAGCTTTTTATAATTCAGCACATACCAATCTAAGAGGAAATTACCAATCTGGAGGACATTTTAATACCTGTTTCAAACCAATGATGTTGTCGCCTTCCATGATTTTATCCCAATCAAATCTCTCAGAAATACTGTTGAGTAATTCTGCTATTTGTTCATACTTCATTGGACGCAGATTTCCAAACTCAAAACCAAATTTTTCATGTTCTGTACCAATTCTGTCAACAGCAAGAAATCAAACATGTTGTCAACTAAACTGCCAACTTGAGGTTAGAAAAATGTGCAGAAACACATATAAAGATATGGACATCTGGAAAGCACAACAAATAACTGAGCTTCACCAACTCTTACAAAGATATTCATCCATAAATTCAAAGTAAATATCCAATTCACATATGTCAAGTTGTTTTTTTTTTCCAATTCAGAAAGATCCTCATGATAAACAATGATGATGCATTGTTAAACAGAAAACAAAGAAATCAAAAAACAAAAACAGATGCAACCGAAAATCCAAGTACCAATAAAAGCTAGAAGTTGAACCTCCATTTCTCCTTAGGTTTGCAACCTGAAGCCAGGTAATCTACAAGATCAGCCTTTGTCAGGGGCTCAGTAGCAACAACAGCATCCTCTGTAGGAGGACTTGCGGCGACAATTACTCGGTGTCCCCTTCTATTATCTCCAGTGCCATGAATATGCAACTTTCTCTGTGGCTTTGCAAGTTTTGACGAAGAGAAACTCAAGCCGACGAACAATTCTTTGGACTTGCACCCCTCTACATTGTTCACAAAACTATGAACTACGTTGTGAGCAGCTTTACACCTTCCACTCTCGGATTGAATGCAATATGAAGGACCAGCCCGGGATATCAGGGCCATAGCTCACACCTACAAGATGATAAATCCAAACTATCACTAAAAAGCTTCGGGTACAACCAGCAAAGGACTACCACAGACTTGACCCAAAATCCAAAAATTATTCTCAAAATTCCTTTACTTCGAGGACTTTCCACAAATTTAAGCACGATGCGGTTGGTCCATCAAATTATAACCGCAGTTTAGATAGCCTTGCACCAACTTGCATGGGCAGTGGGCAAAAATTCGAGTCAACACCCCCATTGAGAGATTGAAAAACTATACCCATTTGCCCAACCAGACATAATTGATTCAGTAAACTAATAACAGAGAAAACACATCATTAACAAAAGTAACTCATCTTATTATTATATTCAGTTATATTAATAACTCAAATAACTGAGAACAGGATAATATTGATTCTTGACGTAGGAAATGAAATTAACAAAATCTCCATTCATGAACAATCTAAACCAAACGACCAAGCAAAACAAGTACGAAAATCCCAGAAAGAAAAACAGTACAAAGTTGGGATTTGCCAACAGAACAACAAGAATAAAAATCAGTTCTTGAAGTAACAGTAAATACCTGCAAGAAGCTGACTCCAAATCCCTCGGCAGAAACAAACTGGAAATAAAATCCTTATTTGGGTCTCAAAATTGGGATTTGAAATTGGGAATTTATAAAGAGAGGAATGAGAGTGTCAGCAATAAAAGTAAATTATAACAAAATCAGTGTAGAACTTCTTTTTAGCTTTTGGTTTTGTTTACTGGGAGGATTTTGTGTAACTTTAGGAAAAGAATGGCGGAAGATGAGTTGTGAGGGCACGGGGTACTAAACAATAGTGCCGCACTATCCTGACTTTTTCACTTCTGGTCCCACTGAAAGTTTATTTGTAAATTGTAGTAACTTTTCGATTTGGCACGTCATTTTGCTATAAAAGAATTCAACAGCGATGTCAATATTTTTTCAGAATTTTCAGCACGTTATAGATCAAAAAAAGTTTTTATTTTTTATAGAGTTTGCTTTTGTTTCAATGATTATCCAGTTTTTTTAGCCCCTCTGGTCATCATTGCAAGGTATTTTGACTTTTCGTATATTTTACTTAGTACATAATTTTTCATCGACCAAAAAACCTTTAAAATATATTTTTACATTTGTTGTGTTTCTTTAATTGTTGTGATATATGTTTAAGGTTTTTTCGTCGATTAAAAATGTGTGCTAGGTTAAACTTAACACAAATCAAAATACCGTATATTAAGTACCGAAGAGAGTATTTTGAATTTTTAAATCAAACTGAATAATCATTTCGCTACGAAAGAAACATGAGTTTTAGACAAAATTTTATAGAATGTACTTTACGTTCTACAAATAATTATCGCTATGCAATTATCATATGAATTATTAATTGAATCATTTTTGCTATATAACCGTAAACATTTCGAGCACTCGTTAGAATGATCAACACGTTTTATCTATTTGATACGATATGATGAGGACACAATGTCTAAATCATTCTTCGTTGTTCCTGGATTCCCCCGTAAACCATTTTATATAAATATATTTCTCTCCTTTTCTTTTTTTCTTTTATTATTTTTTTTGGGGGGGGGGGGTGTTTGCCTGTTTTATAAATTATGGGAGTTTTGATGTCACCCTCAATCAAGCAGCAGCCAAGCCAAGCAGCCTTACAAAACGAAAAAGTAGCCAAAATTCATTTGCGTCACAAAACATAGTATCCGAACCAAAAATAAAAATAAAAAAATTTCGAAACAATCATTTAGAAAATGGATCGTAAATTACTAAAATAATTAGGTTCATGAATCGTGTGTCGCCCTCTTTAACAATGTGATTACATACTTGCACATGTCATCAGTCTTTCATTGTCAAAACAGATCTGATTACCTCTCCCAATTTAAGTGGATTTCCTTTTTTTGGTCTAACCTAGGTTGATTTATGGTCAACAAATTGAGTATGGTATACTATGGATGAAATTGAAGTTGGCTATTGGAATTTGATTCCTTCCATGTAAATGTGTTTGATATTTCTCCCAAAAGATTGTGTTTCAAGATCCTCGACTCTTCATCCTTTCTTGTGTGTTTGAATTCAATTGTTTACCAAATTTATGTTGTTCAATTAGATACAATTAATCCTTGACAAGTGTTACTCTAATGTTACGTTTATGATTCTCATATTTGTTTGTATTAGTTTTTTATACCGAGAAACTAAAGTTACAGTAGTTTTTTCTTTTTTAATGGGAATATTTGCCTGAACATCCCGTGCCAGAATATTGGAGTACTACTTTCCTAACAACAACTAACCTTAAGAAAGATTAAGGTTAATCTTAAGCCGCCTTCGTCTACGGTGTTCCAACCATCACTTTAGAAAGATTAAGACTTAAATATATTGTCTCAATCTTACAGAAATAGTCTGCATATTTAAATCTTTGCTATCTTTCTCTAGGTTGGAAATGTGACTTAACATAGTTTGGTAATTGTCACATGCTTTGGAGCCTTCATTAGAACATCCTTATTTGGGTTTTGGGTATATGATATTAAAAGTGTTCGATCCACTAAGGAGAGTTTTGTTTTTTTGTTTTTTTTTTTTCTATATTTGCAGGGTGTACACTGTCGACAACAGTGACTAATCCTCGAATTCTTCTATCAAAGTTATTCCAAATTCTTCTATCAAAGTTGCTTTCCACTATAGAGTAAGCCCAAGTTGTAGTATTTCCTCATTCGAAGTTCATTTTCCAATGCTAGCCCAATATACAGATGCCTGTTCTGCAGCAAATTTCATCTTTTACTTCACCTCTCTCAAGACTTCCAGCTTCAACATTTGAACTGAAGCTATATCTGCTTTATTACTCTTCCAATATGCTGTGGGCTTTAAACATTGATTTTTGTTCTCATAAAAAGGAGAGAACCAAGTGCAAAGGCAAATAAATTAGCACAGCTCAAAAGAAAGGGCAATGAGGCATTCATAGACAACGTTCGAATGAGCTTAAGAAGAGATTCCATTCCACCGCTGGATGGAAGCAGCAGCATTTGCTTTCATGATTTCATCTTAGTAACGCAGAAAAAGGCCTTTCTTCCAGGTGGCTGATAACTCGGAGAATGAAGTAGAGTCTGTCACGTTGCAAGTTGCAACATTACCACCCTTTCAACTTTTTACCCAGTTGTAGGGGCTTCAGAGCAATGATCATCAAAACAAAGAACCATATATCATAAGACTTAACCACCATGAGCCATCCAGATGTTAATGGTTGATAATAATAGTGTAATAAATGTGTGGTAAACATTAGCTAATAAATGTTCCAATCAACATATTACGTCACAGTATTTGTGATTTATCAAAATTTCTATGATTCTCCCCTTATATTCCTCCAATAACCAAACCACGGAAGTCACATCTCCGACCTAGAGGAATAGTAAAGGTTCAATTATGAACAGACATCCTTAAATGTAACTAAGATAACCATAGATATTTCCATACACCTAGAGAAAGACATCTTTTGATGTATAAAATCCTTAGATTGGAAACTAAGGTAACAAACTAACAATGCCCATGTGTGAGGACTTATTAGAGCAAAGAGAAAACAAATATTCCCAATAATCAACTTCAAAGCTTTAAAGCTTTAAAGAGTAGCATCTAATAGTATTCAAATAAAGCAACAACTAAAAGCAGAGCAGATATTGAAAGTTGTAGATATTCATATAATGATGTTCTGAAGGATGATGATACAACAAGTATTTTCAAATAAGAAAGTCCAATGTAGACCATCTTTTCAATTTTTCTTCAGATCTTTCTATCTTTCTGGAACTCCCCTACTTATACACAGGATTTATGAATTAGAGTAAGGACAACAACATACTGTACAATAGAAGAAAAGATGTCACCAGAAACTGTCATCAACATCGACACTCGGGTGAGGGGCATCTTCTTCCTCTAGCTCCATCTCCAACTCTGGTTCCCTGAATTCAGCTGATTCAATGTCTGCAAGGTTTTTCAAGTCAACCACAGAGAGCTCATCGAGGCGCTTAACTACCAAGTCAGCAGCTCCGAGCTCATACACTGGATGCTTGCTAGCAACAGCAACACATTTCATTCGTGCATCATGTGCAGCCTCCACGGTTAGATTGGAGTTCCCAAACACTATACACCGCTCAGGAATGTACTGCAACGATTGTGCTGCATATACAAACATTTCTGGATCGGGCTTGCCCCGGTACACATCCTCCGCCGTAATAATGACATTGAAGACCCCTTGAATCCCAATGGCAACCATTGCATCATCCAGGGTTTCTCTAGGTCGAGTTGAGACCAGTGCCATTGGTATTTTGTAATGCATCAAGACATTGACAAATTCTTGGGAGCCAGGTCTGAAACTATAAACACCACCCTGCAAAGCTTGATAAATTTCTTCCTTCCGCGAAGCCATTCTTTTCAACTGAACAGGATCTCTTGACCAGCAGAGAACTTCTGATATTGCTTGTTCATTTTTCATCCCTTCGATTCTCCGGAGAATGAAAGCCGGAGGCGGCGATTTTCCTTCTTCCTCAGAAAGGGCCAACCACGCTTGTTTTTCAAGGTCAGGATTGTCTTCTATAAGCACACCTTCCCATTCAAAGATAGCAGCTAACCATCCGCATCCCATTCTTTCTTGTCGAAGCAAAGGATTATGAAGTCCGGGGTTATCAACTCTGTTCTCAGGAGGCCACAATCCCGGTTTTCTATCAACATCTGTATCGACCCGGTACCGAAAATCCTGAGGAAGTCGCCCCTCTTCCCTATATGCATATGCCTCCTTAGTCAACTCCATCGCTTGACATTTAATTGGCCTACAAACCCGCGTTAACATAGGCAGCATAGGCAGAGAAGACGAAGAAGAAACAACAAGCTTCTTTCCCTTAAATTTTGTAGGAGGAAGCTTGCACATAACAACAGGCTTCTGTTTGGTGGAAACATCCTTGCAACCATAACCTCCATATACAGGAAGATGCCCAAGGGATGAGGAAGTGAATGATTTCAACATGTTAAACTAACCACGAGCCACCACAGTGAAACCCCTCTTTGAATTAAACTCAGCAAAAACTTCACCTTCTAGTAAATCCAATTAAACTGGAAGAGAACCCTCAAAACCAACCCAAAAAAGGGGAGCAAGGCTTTTAGAGTACTACCAGTTCTTCAAACTTTCTCTAAGCACAGATCCTCCAAAATAGGCCTTTATCACAGAAAACCAACTATAGGAAACACCAATTGGAAGAGGCCAATACGAAAACACCAACTTAAGATTCTGACAACCCCCCAACCGCAACTTTTAAATCAACAGGCTCCCAATTCACACAACAATATATATTCCTACAAGCTTAAATATTTAATTGGAAAGAACCTTCAGCTGACACAACTCGGAAGTTATTCTCCAAGACTCGAAAAGAGGGAAAACAATATCAAAAAGCCACAAAGATCCCCAACTTTATTAAAAATACCCCGTTAAAGTACTTCCATTATCAAACACAAATCCAAACCCAATAAACTAAAAGCAAAAACCGACCCAAACCCAAACCCAATCACAGGATTATCAACATCAAACACCTCCACACCTTAGACAATCAAACGCTCAACCCAGAAGCAGAAACTAATAAAATTTTACAGACTGATGAAAAAGATGGAAAACCCAACAAAATTATACACAGATTAGAGGCAAGAAAGGAATCCCAAACCAATAAAAATCTGAAATTTGGCGGTAATGGAACTAGAAATATCGAGATTATGTGTGTGTATACTATAAAGTGGAACGTGTATGTAGTATATACAGGAAAAAACCAAAAAAAAAAAAAAAGAGAGAGAAAAAAAAGGAGAAAAAGTAAAGAAGAACCTGATTGAAAGAGTGAAAAGGGAAGCCTGTGGAAAAGATTAGATTGATTTCATTGGGGGGTTGCTCTCTGTCTTTTATATTTTTTGTGGCTTATAACTTATAGACAAAGAAATATATGATGGAAGAGAAAGAAAGGGGTGGTGGTGCTGCTGGATGCCGGCGAAGGCTATTTTCTGTCCAATTCTACACGTGGCTTTTGAATCTTTCGTGAATTTTCGGGGGTTTTTTTTTTCTTTATTTTCGTGGGAATTAGAGAATTTTGTCCTAAAAAGAAAGAAAAGTCCCGCAAGTCAGGAAATTCTTTTTTGCTAATACAATTTCCGAGATAGTATTGATTAATCGTGCACAAAAGGATAATGTTAATATTTACTCCTATTTTCATTTTTCTTTTTGTTTTCTTTTAATTGTTCTAATTTCATTTTCTGGATAAGCTATTCCCTAATTTAATTTGTAACATTTTTGTGTTATATCTTCTGTTACAGTATCTAATTTGTTTATGTGAAAGTTTTTCGTTCTAATTAATACTTCTTTTGTATTATTACAATTTTTATGGTTTGATGATTATTTAGTTTGAATGTTTATATTTAATACAATTTATATTACAATTAAAAAATATAAATTTGACAGTCATTTCAGACAGTCATAAACTTCGACATTTCATACGTTTGATGTTGATTTAGAAGGACGTTTTCTAGCTATTAATACAATCGTAATTTGCACTTGCGTTGGGTTTCAATTATCATACTGATTAATAATAATTAGTTATATACTCTTAATTTGGATAGTTTTATGAAGCACCATCATCAGTAACTCCCTACTTGACATTTGTTGTTTGGAACCTGACTTGTTCCAAGCCTGTTACTTTAAGTTTTGCATATTTGTTTTGGCGTCTAGGTTTTGAATTTCCTTGAAATGTTAAAAATTGTTTGAAACAAATTTGCTTAAAAAGAGTGGCTTCATCTTTACAAATCGCAGTCTGTGTTTAATACACTGAAAAGGAAAAAGTAAACGAAACAATATCAAAGCGAGTCTTCGTTAGATTTCAGTTTCAGTAAAAAGTTAAACGTTAACACATTTTTATTAGTGTATAGTAATACCCTCAGTTATATTAATTAGTGAATTTATGTACTTACTTCCAAAATATTATATTATTATCTCGGTCTCCCAAGTCGTAAAATAGTTCACATTGAATTATTTTAAATTTACGCTGTTTTCATTAGAAATTTCAAAGTTAATGTGAACTATTTTTCTGAGACAGAGGAAGTATTACATTTTTAAAAAGAATTAGTCGATAAGATCTGAGTATTCAACCAAAAATTGATATTCGTGAAGAGTAGAAAAGCTCAAGATCAATTAGACATAAGATGATTTAGCGGTATTTTAGTTTTTACGAAAATAGTCATTATAAATATTAAATTAAAGTAACTGAACAATCGACTTACACAATCTTTCATTTTTTGTTAAAATAATTTTAATGACCGCATCATAGATCTTTCTTTAAATCACGAAAGCAAATAAATTGAATCTAAAATCCAAAGGAATTATTTTTACTTGTTTTTCAAAGCAATTTTCCACGAATATCATTTTCAAGCGACAGTTTCTTGTTCAAGTGGGAATATGGAAGTGTGGATAAGAGCTTCTTGGAGGGTTCAAAAGTCAATAATACTAATCACTTCTCCCACCCTATTTTGCCCTTTAAAACTAACTATAATAATAATAATTAAAAAAAACATGATCTGTCATTTCTTGAATTTCTTTCCTTCTAGACTAATGAAATGGTTAAAAACTTGAAGAAAAATTTGCAAATTCGGCTCATGATTAATTGAATAGACAGAGAATACTCTTTCCGTTCTATCACTTCTATATATCGAATAATTTATTTCAGGACTACTTAGTTTAGAGCTGAGTGAACTATTTTAATTTTTACTCGTAGTATTCAAATGTGTGTATGCCAAGTCAAACAATTATGCATAATCGGCACGCTTTGCATAATTTGTTTTATTGCCATAAACCTCCCAACCAAATGGTCCCATTCAACCATTCTCATTATACTCCTAGCTAGTTTACACGGCTCTATCTAGGGAAATTGTTTCCGATTTCAACTTCGTTACATAATAATATTCGACAAAACTGGATTTTGCAAGTTACAATTAAGGAGAGAAACAACGACAGAAGTGTAGGGGTTTAGTCGCTCAACATCACCAATTACTCAATTAGAGAAAACTGAATCTTCAAATGGTGTTAAGAGTTTCATTAATTGCGCAGCAATTGATAATGTAGTTTGTATGCATGTTGTCACATTTGGACGTAATAGTGTTGAACTATTCTTTTTGTTTTAATCTAATGGTTTTGTTTGTTATATTATTTAGAACATATTTTGTTAGATGTGAACAATCCTTATTTCGAGGACTTTACATAAGCATTTACGCAAGCAACTAAAATCTTTTTAAATATAATGAGTATCAAGAAAACGACCAAAATAATCAAATGGAAAACAACACACGAAGAGAAATGTGGTCCATATGAGGGGTTGGGTGTAGAGAATTAGAGATTCTAGAAATTGGTGGGTCTAACTCTAACCAACCCACTGACGAGTCCATATTCAATGCCAATATCGGATCGATTCATTCGGCATTTATAAGCCCAACCGACTCTACTAGAGCGGTTTGAGCAATACGAAACCTAGTAGAACTCGGACACCTCCCAAGTAACTTCATGCCTATAAATAGGGTTGATCACACCACAATGGAGATACACTATCTCTAGCACCAAGTATTATACACACGCTTATTCATAACCCTATTTTTGACTTAAGTATTGGAGTATCTACCCTCGGGAGACCTCCAGGCTCTACTTTGCAGGAAACCCTAGCCGGCGTTCCACTGTTAAGCTGGCAATACAATTCCAGGCTTCGTCAAGTGGCACGCCCAGTGGGACCCGAAAACTAGGGTTTATGTCACGAAAACCTTCTCAGGTTTCCCTAATCTTTTCCGGTGCAATTTAGGGTTTCTGGAACCATCTTCACAATGGCCAGGGTTGAAGAAGACAGGTCCAGTAGGGGATCTTCGGGTAGGCAGCGCAGTACAGCCGATAACACTACTCTAGCGGAGTTCCAAAAAAGATTGAAGAGGAAGAATGCGGGAAAAAGCCATGAAAAAGGGCCCGAGAAGGAACCAGAGAAGGAACGTTTGGTCCTTGGCTCTTACCAGCCTAATCCGAAGAAACCAGACAATATTAATCTCGCGATAGAAAAGGAAGATCTGCGTCCACCTGGAAACACCGCAGCATCCAAAAAGCTCTTGGAGGATCAAAAGTTGGCCAAGATCGAGGCCGAACTCAAGAAACTATGTGATGACAGTGATCAAAATCAAAGGATGAAAAGGTATGTCTTAGAAAAGACAAGGCGTCGTTGTCTTCTTGGACAACCGGATCCAACTGGCCAAGAGTTAGCTGACCTAATCAACGAGAAGGAAGCACGCCATACCTTAGCTCTTCTCGAGGCATGACAAGGCAAGCGAAAAGTCCAGGAAGAGGAAGACTATCAGGAGTTCTCGAATCGCAAACGCTTCCTAGAAGATCATTCAACCGCCATACAAGACACTGTTTACTGGAACGCTTTCAGGAAGAAATATCCTACCTTTGATATAGCCTTTGAAGAATTTGATGCAATATACATACGCAAGGGTCCTCGAGACCACTACCAACGAGGATCCCCAAGCGTCGAAGTCGTGGAAGAGGGAGAATGGAATCCTCCGAGAAAGACTAATGTCTACAACCGATTGGGACCCAACCGACATCAAAAAAGTCCTCGAAGGGAGGAATATAGACCTTTCCACGGACAGTATCAGGACAATGATGATACCGGAGAAGAATATGGACGGGGGAATAACCGTCATCTTCAATATTCACCTCCCAGGCGGTAACAGTATAATAATCACGAGGAATTTCCACCTTACCCTCCTCAAGGTCAGTAGATGATAAGGGGGCAAAACGTCTCGATTCGAGACGAGATGAGGAGGATCATTAGAATGGTTGTGGATCGTAGCCCCTTTATATCAGACATCCGAGACAAACCAAAACCCCAGGATTTTGACTTTCCCAAGGATTTCACCAAATACTCAGGAGATACTGATGTCTCCCAGTGGCTACATAGATAC